AGAGAGAGAGAGAGAGAGAGAGAGAGAGAGGTGCATGAGGCGGAGGGAGGGATTAGGATTGGGGGGACGATGTTGGGCAGCCTGATACTCACGGACATGTGCCGGGGTGGAAGAGGGGGAGAATCCAAAAAATGAATCAAGACTTTTTTTAGAGTATTTCGGCAGTCCCGCCGGGAATGCCGATTCGATCGCGCGCCACGGTTAGCTCCGCCGGATCGACTTTGACCGGGTCTTCGGTTGCGTAGTAGTAGTTCGATCCGCCATGGCGAGTGAGATCGAGCCCTGCAATCTCGTCTTCCTGCGATATTCGCAAGAGGTCAAACTTATCCAGCAGCCAGAAGCAGGCGCCCATGAGCAGCGAAGTCCAAGCTGCAATCACGATGGCTCCGACGGCTTGTGCCGCTAGCAGTCTCCCGCTCCCCGTGTAGAATAGACCGCCAAAGTCTCCCCGCCCATACACCTGCTGAAGGTACTCTTTCTTTGCCAGCAGACCCACGAAGAGCACCCCAAGCAAGCCGCATCCCCCGTGCAGCTGGAACGCCTCCAAGGGGTCGTCATACTGCAGCTTTTGCATCAGCGCGTTCATACCAATCAAGGTCCAGGCGGCCAAGAAGCCAATCAGCACGGCGGCCCACGGCTCGACGAACGCGCATCCAGCCGTTATGGCGGCAAATCCCCCCAGCAGGCCATTACAAACATCAGCCACGTTCCAGTGTGCGACGATGAGCTTCCTGGCAAACAGAGTGGTGACGGCGGCGGCGGCGCCGCTCAGAGTGGTGGTGACCGCGCAGCGGGCGACGATGGCCGCCGAGATCGGGTCGGCGATGGTCAGCTGCGATCCCGGGTTGAACCCATACCAGCCGAACCAGAGAAGGAAGGTTCCAAGAACAATCAAAGTCCCACTGTGTCCCTTCATCTCCTTCTTCTTGCCCTTCACGTCAAAGCGCCCCAGCCTTGGGCCCTCAATAAAGGCCCCCCAGAAGCCGGCCACAGCCCCCACCATGTGGACCACCCCGCTGCCGGCGAAATCGACCATTCCGCACCCGAACAGGTGCCCCTGGTCGGGATCCAGATCCAAGGCGGTCAACCAGCCGCCCGGTGACCATACCCAGTGGCTGACCACGGGGTAAACGAAGCCCGTCAGGAAGGAGGAGTAGACCAAGTAGGCCGTGAATTGCGTGCGCTCGGCGATGGACCCGCTGGTTATACCCGCCGCCGCCGCCGCGAATGCCCACTGGAACATCCACGTTCGGTACCGAGCGTCGGCGGCGGCGGCGGCGCCAGCTTTGTTGCTGTTGAATTGCGCCATAGCGTAGCCTCCTGAGCCTATGAACTTGTTCCCCTCCTCCCCGTACGCAAAGGCATAACCCACGACGTAATAGGACAAAGCTCCCGCCGCCGCATCCAGCACGTTGGTCAGCATGATGTTCATCGTGTTCTTCGCTCTCACCGACCCTGCGCACAGCATCGCGAAGCCGATCTGCATTGCAAACACCAGGTAGGCGGAGATGAGCACGAAGAAGGTGTTCACACCATACGTGGACTTGGCTATGGCGCACAGGTGGTCGGCCAGCAGAGTGCCATTCACCTCGGACAGCTTCATCAACTCAATCCTGACAGCTGTCAAGCACTCCCCATTGCCTTGGAGACCAGCCATCTTCTCCCTTTTCTCCTTGAAAAAGTTTTCTTCCTCTCGTGAGTCTCTGACACTTTCTGGGGTTACTCACCAACAACAGCGGCGTATCCTTTTTTTTTTTTTACAACGGCCTATCTTCACTCTCAGACTGTCTTTCAGATTTCTTCCTCTCTTGAATCTCTTCCTCTCGTTGGTGAATCGTGATCACTGACTGCGGCGTATCTTCCTCCCTCTTTCTCCCTTCAAATTTCTTCCTGTCTTCCTCTCGTTGGTGGTGGTCCCCACTGCGTGCGCGTGAGCTGCCGGGGAGTCGGGGACGGAGTCGCTGTAGAAGTCGATGGACATGATGCCGCGCCGGAAGTGGAGTGGGTAGAGAAGCAGCTATGGAGATTGAGCACAAGCCGCTCCGACGACGAGCACGATGGCCATGCAAGTAGGGTAAGAACGCATATGCTTTGGAGACAATCCAGCCTAGCGGATGATGACAATCACTAGGAGATGGGCAAGAGAGGCAGGGACTGCTTTTCACGACGGAGACGAGATCAGATATAGTACTATTTATAGAATGAATATTAGCAGCAGGAAAGATGAGCGAGTTCGACAGGCAGGCAGGCAAACCAAGAGACTGACAGTAACACGCACGAACGGAAGGGAGGGTTTTCTTTCGCGAATACGTTTGAAAAGAGAGAGAGAGAGAGAGAGAGAGAGAGAGAGAGAGAGAGAGAGAGAGAGAGAGAGAGAGAGAGAGAGAGAGAGAGAGAGAGA